AAAAAAAAAAATAAAGTTGTCACCTAGAAATATCTGTGTCTGTGCTGCTGTGGGGATATTTACCCCAAGCCCGCACCATCTACCTATCTCCCTTATCTGCTCAAAAACCGTAGGTCACGAGCCCAGTGGGAGAGGACCTAGAACTCAGATACTAGGGGCCAGTGGCAGCCTGAGAAACTGACCTCAGTGGCACGCAGGTTAAATGATGGTTTGTGTGGCATCATCTGTAGAACACCTGGTGGGCGCCAGCCCCCGCTGTCACTCAGCCACTGAGTTTCCTGTGATTGAGCTTCAAAGCTAATTTTCCAAAATATCATATGAATTGATACTAGATGATTTCCTCTGCAACAAATAGCTGAAACTAGGGAATTGAAAATTTACAAAGGCAGTATTTGTTGACTTTAATAAAGTCAAGATGTAGAGATTTATTTCCTTTTCTCATTATTGTTCAGAATGAGCACTTCTGGGATAAAGACGCATTAAGCTGCTCTTAAAAAAAGAAATAACTAACTAAATGACGCCCAGGTTTCTGGCTCAGGCTTCTGGTTTGGGAGCAAAATGGGCCATTGAGCTGAGAGCTAGGGAGGAGGAGAGGTGCAGGGTTGGGGAGTTGGGAACTGTCAGTTTGATGTTGCTTCATCTGCCAAGCTATGTACTACAAGTGGAGGCTAGAGCTCACTGTTGGGGAGGAGCTGGTGTGTGCAGAAGCCGCTGGCTGGAGCAGGTAGGAGAGTGGGCAACCCAGAAGTGGCCCACACAGTGACTGAGAACAGGAAGAGGCACCATTTAAGAAGAAAACACACATGGCACTGCTCACAATGTTGAGGGTAGACAGAAGCCATGTGTCCACCAAGAGGCAGGGGGCAAGAAAATCTGGTGCATCCACAGCACAGTTACAAAGGAAGGGAATCCAGACACAGGATGTTATGCTGAGTAAAGTAAGTCGGTCACAGAAGTACAAATCCTGCAGGGTCCCACTGGAGTCATCAAACTCCAAGACCAAGGAAAATGGGGTCACAAGGGGCCAGGGAGGGAGCAGGAGCTAGTGTTTCATGGAGACAGAGGTTCAGTTTGGGAAGATGAAGATGGATGGGCTCGGCGCCTGTGGCTCAAGCGGCTAAGGCGCCAGCCACATACACCTAAGGTGGCGGGTTTGAATCCCCAGCCCGGGCCGCCAAACAACA